TTTTTTTTAAGGGGGAGGGAGGATTGACCAGGATAACTAATCAGATCTTGTTGAATAGTGAGACATTGACTTTGCATAAATCATATTTATTTATTTTTTTTATATTCATTAATAAGAATCTTAATAAGTTTGGTGAATCACAAGATAAGAATAATTGTATAAGTTAATTAAATGAGAATGATAAATGTGAGAGTTCCTAATTCTTGTTTCCAGATGGAGACATATTTTTTTATAATTTTTGTTTGTTTGTTTTATTTATATTCAATTACATGATAGCTATTTATTAACTGTAAACATACTTATATTATTATTTTTTATCTTCATTTATAAGTAAAAGTATTTTAAACTTACTATTAAATTCAATTTAATTTCATGTTTTCACTTATATAATGAATAAATGATTAAAAAGTGTTAAATAAATCGTGACATGGCCGCCGGATGAATATCTCCCGTACTATTTGTCCGGTCGCCGGATGGTAGACGCTGCTTTTTAAAAAAAAAAAAAAAAAAAAAAAAAAGTATTTTAAACTTACTATTAAATTCAATTTAATTTCATGTTTTCACTTATATAATGATTAAATGATTAAAAAGTGTTAAATAAATCGTGACATGGCCGCCGGATGAATATCTCCCGTACTATTTGTCCGGTCGCCGGATGGTAGACGCTGCTTTTTAAAAAAAAAAAAAAAAAAAAAAAGATTGCCTTTACTTTGTCAGCCAGCCGTGTTTTTTTATCTCCTTTTTTTCTTTCAAAAGGTTTCTATAAATTATTAACATGCTAAGTTAACATGTCATATATAACACTCGGATCAAAGGTTATTTATTTGAATTAGGATGTGACTTGATATTTTCATATACGTGTTTAAGAAACATAAACATTAGTGACATAAAATGACATCATTGACATGACATAGTTTACATAGTCGTACTGATAGTATTCAAAATCTGTAGTAAGTAGTATTAGTATAGTAGAGAAGAGTTGTCATTGTAACCAAGTGTAAGAGTAGGCCTAAGTGAAATTAGTCATTAGTTAATTAGTGGTATTGTTTGATTTAAAAGACTGAGAAGGCCTGGTGTTTATACTTATACTACTACTACACTTATATGGCCTACTTATATAATATAAATAAATGATATTATATTTCTTAAACTTTTATTAAGTTGATTAAGTAAGTGAGTTATTTTTTAGTTATCTCTGACAGAAGACTGTATGCAGCTGGACTTGGAGCATGCATAAAAAAATAAGGCATACATAAATATGAAGCTAATGTAGTGAAGTGTAACTTGTGGTTGTTTGACTTAGACTTAAGTTTAAGGCTAAGAATTATATATTTAACTTTTAACACTAATAATAATAAGTTCAGTAAAAGTAAAAGCATTAAGTTGACTTATTCTTAAACTGTTAATGAGTAATGTCAGCAATCATAGCAATGGTTAAGTGCCACCCAGGGCAAGCTAAGTCTTTTGGATCTAATTGGGGGTGAGGGTTGTAAATGAGGGAGGAAGGGGAAGCCTCTGTTAGTAGCACATTTTTCTTCTGTCCATTTTTTTACCAGAGTGACGTGACAGGGAGTATAGACCTAGTTGACATATTGTCGCAAGGTATAAGGCATGCTGGAAGATCATGCTGTGGATTTTTAGGGTGTCCTAAACACATGAATCCAGATGTCTTAGTTTAGAATTAACATTAAAATGTTCTTCATCTTCATTATTGTATTTTTTTATAGTTCATCAAATACCAGGATTGGTTTCAGACAATCACAATTTAACATTTCCTGACTTCAATATAACTTCAACAATTGGAGCATTTGGAGTTTAGTACAAAATGAATCGCAGGTTGTAAGTAAACATTTTATGAATTTTTAATATCCGAAAGTGTTTAAATTCCAGGTGGATTAAAAAAAAGACACTTTTTTATTTCATACGCTTGAATTCGTTAAACCAGTGGTTCCCAGCTGGTGCACTTCTCAGGGGCTCCGCATACACTTGAGAAAATAAAAATTGCAATATAACAATGTTAGGCATAGGGTAGTCCTAAGGAGCTCACCAATAGAAATTGATTCTTAAAAGGTTATAAAATGTTGGGAACCACTGCATTAATCAAAAATATAAATGACAGCTATTTAGAAAAATGAAAGTAAAATCTATGGCACAGTTTATTTTAAATTTTGAAGGGGTGACGGTTTTGCGTTTCAAAGCTTCATTTAGTTTCAAATGAAAAAATAATTTTAATTCATGAAAAATATGTTCATTTGTAAAAATTGGGCATATCTATTTTAAGAAATCTATTACATTGTCCTAAACCATAAAGTTTTTTCCTTTTTTTTCTCAATGCTAATCACTTTTTATCAACTTATTTACTCTTCACTGTTTAGAGAAAAACAACGCTATATAGAGAATCTAATCAAAAGTGGTGCCTTGAAGATAAAAGTCAATGATGCCCCTCGTTATTTGACATACACCAATCCAGGCATACACTATGATGACTTTGATATTTATAGTGAGTTTGGTATTATATTGTTATTATGATTACAAGTTTTAAGATGCCTGTTAAATACTAATTAAAAACCCGTTAAAAAAAATTATTCATATAATTCTTGTAAATTTGAGAAAACACCATAAAAGTAACAAGCGCTTTATAAAAATCCCAATTAGTGTCTCCCTCCACAAAACCGCACGTTTTTTAACACGTCTAAACTATATTAAAATTCTAATGACCCACCCGCTTTTACAGGGCAAATTTATTCATCAACTATTTCAGAAAAACAAAAGAACATATTACACATACACACGAAACCAAACGCACTAGTGATATTTTTTAAAAAGAATCTCATTGAGCGCAGTTATCTGGAATGTTATTTCGTTAAATCAGTGTGATCATACTGCCTTCATTTTCCCCTTGTAAAGAAGAAAAACTGATTTGGGGTTCAGGGCAGGGGCTCAAAATTTGATAGTATGTATTGTCATTAGGAACGAGTCTATGTGCCAAGTTTCAACTCGTCAACTCGATACATTGACGAAAAGGGTGTCAATTAGCCGTCCAAAGCTTTTGCCGGCCAAAAATAAAACCGAAGTGAATATAAAGAATTTAAAAATAGTACATGATATTGGCACATAAAATAGTTGATATAAATGGTGCTACACAAACTACTTTATGATTATAATAACAAAGTGGCTATTCGTACCCCGGTACCAGAAGTGAGAGGTTGGGATTAAAAAAACTATTGAAAATATTGTTGGTTTTTTAAGACAAAATGAGGTATTAAATGAAAGATAATTGAATGGACTATATGTTTGTAAACTTACTTCTTCAGTTTAACTAAAATAAACTACCACAAAAGACTGAATGCACTTTGTGCATGATAATAATAATAAAAGCCAGGGGCAGTGTGGATAACTGACATTTAAGTCAACTGACATTAAGGTCTGCTATATTTAAAGTTGAAAACATGAGCCAAGGGCAGAGTTAACTTTCTTTATTAATCAGTTTGAATTTTAAAAGGAAATTGTTGTGCCTAGACTATTTGTCAAAATTGATCATCGCTCTGGTGGCTAAACAGTAGGTCCATTTTCAAGTAAAATATTATGTTTTTTTTGTGCCTTCAAACTCGATCAAAATATTTTTTATATCAATCATGATCTTAAAATCATTAATTTGGTTTAATTAAGGATCAAAATATGTTTAACCAAGGATCAAATGGATTATGTTTAACCAAGGATCAAATTGAATCTGTTTGACCAATGATCAAATGGATTATGTTTAATCAAGGATCAAATTGATTTTGTTTGACCAAGGTTCAAATTGATTATGTTGAACCAATGATCAAATGGATTATGTTTAACTGACTGATCTTTCCATTTCTTCCTAGATCGACCCGACCTGATCAAAATGATGCTATATGCCATCAAAGCTGAAGATATAGGAGAAAATGCCCATTCTTTTAATGATGGGGATAAGATGTGCTCTTTCATGTACTGGGATACTCTCTTAAAAGACAGGACATTCTTTGTGGGCAGTGTTCAGTACAACTTCACTAGGATTCTATACGCCCGCGATGTCCCCAAGTGGCCTCTTGACGTCAAATTCTCCTTTGGAGGGATAGGCTCGACGTCTCTGCTGCAGAAGTCAGAATTTTTCTTGGTGAATTCTCAAGAGCTTGTGATGTCTCGGCTGACCAAACTGATAGCGGTCGACAGGCAGAGCCGCAGGCCCGTGCCGCACCCAGACTGGTACAGGGAAAAGATGACGGGGAAGGAGGTCCCGCTGGACGACTTGATATTCACCGGCTTTCAGAGGCCACAGAAGGGAACATTTGTACGCAAAATTCAGGTTTGCTTCTCTGAATTTAATTTTTGAATCATAGAAATCAAAATACCAACCCTTAAATGTGTAGTGTAGTCATTAATTTAGTTATAAAAAAACGAAGAACATTGTTTTTGTTGTTTTTTTTTAGACAATCATTTTTTAAATTTTTTTTTATAAAGTTGACAGGTTCAGTTTAGGTCTAATTAATTTTAAAGAATTAAGACTAATCTAATTGCGAAAAAAATTCAGTCAACAAGATTAAATATCCACGTCTCTAGTTTTAGCAATTTTTTTCACGTTTAATTTAAATTGAAAGTTAAGTTATAGTCTATATTTGGTGTATCTGTAAATGGGGCGTTCACTTGGAACTTCAAACTCACTATGAATAAGTTGTTTTTTTTTAAATAAAATTTTTTTTTTAATGGAACATTTTGAATCTTAATTTAAATATTGTGTAACTTTTCCTTTTCCAGATTGTCTTGTCCGATACCGACAGAAATCGTCACACAAACTTCGCCAGCTATGTCAGGTTTGGATTGGACACACTTCATCTGGCGCTGACATTGCGAGCCAGAAGAAAGGCTGCTGAAGCTAAAGAAAACTCACTTCTACCAAATATCGATTCGGCACCTGATCTCAGGACAAGGCATCCGAAGACTAATGAAGCAAAATCAGCACTTAACAAATTAAGTGTAAAATCTCAAATTTGTGAGTCTGGCTCATGTGAGACATCAAACGCATCCATTGACAGTCACGTAGCTGGCAGTAAGAGTTTTGAGCCCCTCATCTCAACAGTTGACTCGGCACTGCCACGGGTCACAACAGTTGACTCTGCATTGCCTCTGGTAGCAACAATTGACTCTGCATTACCTTGGGTGACTATAGATATAATGAGAAACGGCACGAAAAACTTGAAAATTTGCTACCGAAAAGAGTGTGTGGAAGGTGATTTTGTTGATGTACATATATGGCAGGAGAAAGGGGAGGAGTTAACCGTGAGATGTTCTGTTGACGCTGTCGATGGCTCGCCAATTTCTCAATTTATACTGGAGTATTTCGGTAGCTTGTCAAATCTTTAACATTTGTCTCCCCTGTGTTGATATCTTGATGTTTTCTAGTATTTATTTTTTTAATTCTATAGTCTTTCAAAAATCAGAATGTATAAATTGAACCATACAAACAGATTGTGTTTTTAAATGTAATTAATTATTTTTGTTTTTTCTTATTTCCGCTCATCTCTATTTTTGGTTGTTTGAGACAGTGTGTAGTGATGACTTTTCACACCAATGTTTGCCGCTGTCATTCAGTGCACACCAATGTTTGCCGCTGTCATTCAGTGGTTGAGGGTGCTCTTTTTTTTTTACTTACCTCCTTCCCAAGAATAGCTGCATTGCTGGGCTTGTAGGTCCACTTCCACTGATCTGTTGGATCATAGCTTTGGGGGGGCTGACCGAGGACAGATCCAAACTCACCATCACCTGGTTTTATAAAGACACCATTGCTCCACAGGGCCACCATTTTAAAGTTTCATGCTGCTTGTTTATTTGGCAGAGATATTATTTCATGAGTGCTTTTTGTGTTCAGCTGAAATAACCTTTTGTATAGCTATGCTATTTTTAGGAAAAAATTTTACTGTCTTGTGTCAGAGCACTGTTCTGTTTCTATCAGTTTCTATTGGTCACTGTCTTGTGTCAGAGCGCGGTTCTGTTTCTATCAGTTTCTATTGGTCACTGTCTTGTGTCAGAGCGCGGTTCTGTTTCTATCTGTTTCTATTGGTCATTGTCTTGTGTTAGATCTCTATTCTGTTTCTATCTGTTTCTATTGGGCGTTGTCTTGTGTTAGATCTCTATTCTGTTTCTATCTGTTTCTATTGGTCACTGTCTTGTGTCAGAGCTCTATTCTGTTTCTACCTGTTTCTATTGGAAGGTAACATTTTCCTGACTTGATTTTGTTAAAATGGAAAAAGAAATTAAATAGGAAACAAAAATTAGCATAATAAATAGTAATGACAGATTGTATTTTCTGTTCATTATAATTTATTGAGGAATTGGCTCATAGATACATAGAGATAAAAAAAAATATTTAGAGTTACATACATAGATAGATACAATATATAGATATATAGATACATAGAGATACATAGAAATATAGAGTTACACAGCATACACAGATACATATAGGTTCATAGAGATACTTATATACATAGAGATGCATACATAGATGCGTGGAGATACATAGATACATAGAGATACTATAGATTTGCTACAGAACTCATGTTTACATTCCACTCTGAGAAGAAGCTTGAAAATAATATTTTATTAAATTCACCTTGAACTGCTAGAAGGATGAGCTGCATTCCTCTCTGTATGACATCCTGATGTCATTCCTCTCTGAATGACGTCCTGATGTCATTCCTCTCTGTATGACATCCTGATATCATTCATCTCTTGTATGACATCCTGCTGTCATTCCTCTCTGTATGACATCCTGATTTCATTCATCTCTTGTATGACATCCTGCTGTCATTCCTCTCTGTATGAAATCCTGATGTCATTCCTCTCGTGTATGACATCCTGATGTCATTCCTCTCTGTATGACATACTGATGTGTGAAAATGATTCATTTGGCAGGTAAGGTTAATACCTGGTCAGCAGGGGTGTGTGAAGTTATTAAAAGTTAGTTCAGCCCATTCTGGTTGGCTTCTGGGACGTAGGTTGCTAGAGGTATTCTCTGTAGGTTGCTAGAGGTATTCTCTGTAGGTTGCTAGAGGTATTCTCTGTAGGTTGCTAGAGGTATTCTCTGTAGGTTGCTAGAGGTATTCTCTGTAGGTTGCTAGAGGTATTCTCTGTAGGTTGCTAGAGGTATTCTCTGTAGGTTGCTAGAGGTATTCTCTGTAGGTTGCTAGAGGTATTCTCTGTAGGTTGCTAGAGGTATTCTCTTACATTCACTTACACAGTTGAAGTAACAAAAATTATTATTTTTTTTTTAAATTTCTAGTACTGGGCACATTTTAAAGAAATCAGATCACTTGATCTGTGTACAAATCAGTTATTATTGTCACTTGAGTCTGTGTGTAAGAATTTATTTACTAAATTCATAAACAGAGGATATCCAGAAGCGTTCAGTGTTTTATTTATGCCACCCACCTGTTATTTTCTCCAAGCTACTCATTGTTTGCTAATTTTTCTACAGTTTATTTTGTTCAATTTAAAAAAAAAATAAAAATGTTATAATAAGTTATTAATAAAGAAAAATTCAGACTTTGGTTGGTTGATTGAATGTCTTGAATGTATCAATAATTTTCATTGGTTGATTGTGTCAAATGTGTCAATAATTTTGATTGGTGTGGGGCATTGCTGAAAATAGGAAAAAAAAAAAAATAAGCAACATTGATTTCTTTCTTTCAAAATCACAAACCATAAATACTGACAGTCTAACTCTGAGACAAAAGTTTTCATAAATAATTTATTTAAACATTTTTTTTTTTGGGGTGTGGGGGGGGGGGGGGCAAAAAAAAATTTTATATTAAAAAAGCCCCTGTTGTT